AGTAGGTGCTTTAGACCACTGAGCCATCTCACCAGCCCCTAAAAAAAAAAATTATTAAACTTAACTACGTATTATTCTGTGCAAAATTTAAAGCTGTTTATTATCACCATGTAGATAAGAAAAATAAAGCTCAGAGAGGTAGTGACTCAGTACGCATACACGACAAAGACTGATGGCAGAATCACAAACCTAGACTTCTGCTTTGTATTTCAACTCAGAGGTTCTTTGGTGTTTGCTTAGATTTTGGATTGTATCAGCAACTAGAATAGTGCTGTGTTGAGTGCTTTCCATGAGTAAGGCACTAAAATAAGTTCTGAGATATAGTACCCCTCTTTGTGGAAATTATATAATCTGTAGCAGAATTTTTCAGGCATTAGTTGTTTTCTCCTCCAGCTCCTTCCACCCTTTAAACCATCCCAGCACCCACTGTACTAAAAAGTGAGGTGCCTCATCCCTCCCTCCCTCACCCCATACACACCAGAAGGGGAAGGATGGAGAGGTAAGGAGGAGTGTGAACAGAAGAAAGAAGGAGCATAAAAAAGTTTACTGGCTCAGTGAGAGACTGATAAGTAGCTGCTATACCAGGTAGTTCCACTAGGTTAAAGTAATCAATCAACTTAGGGCTGATTTCTTCCTCTAGAGCTAGAGGCATTTTCTACAACTTGAGTTATATTAAAACGTCAAAGAAATACACATTTTGGTGATTTAAAAAAAACTAATAGGGCTTTATAGTAATACAGAGAACATTTTTCCTTTTCTTTATTAAAGCTGCCCAGTTTTCTTTTAATAGTGTTCTACACAGAAATGTAGCATGCTTTTAGCAAGTAGTTTAAGTCTGCTAGAATAATTTGGCAAACAAGAGCAGAAGCATGCTGTAGCATCGTGAGCACTTTCCACTGGGTTGATATGAGAAGCTAGTGGGCTACCTTAACTGCTTAATCTCTTATAGCCTTTTCCATTCCTGAGATTTTAAAAAGAAAGAAAAGGAAAGAAAAGAAGAAAGAAAAAAAGATCTTGTCTACTGCCAAGTAATACAGGTAGACTTTTGAAAAATAAATTATGGCAATCTATAATCCTAACAAACATTATGACAACCATCAAGTATGGAAACTATTGAATCCCATCCCAGAAACACATCTTTCCCCAAACTAGAAAAGAGACACCTTGTACTATGAACTCGGGATAAAAATCCAAATTTTTTGCCTACAGAGTGGGAAAAAAATTCAAGGCTTTCCAAAGAAAATGTTTTGCTCTTTTATAAACCCCCTTCTCATTAAGAGACCATCCTATAGGACATCAAATGCCGTGGGACTGTACAAAGTGCTCACAGAGAGAGAAGCAGATTCAGGAAGGCCTGGTGGTTTTGTGAAGGTGTATATATTTATGATGCCTAACTCTGGTATGATCCTTAAATTCTGTTCAATCCTCTAAAATTCTTTCTATAGCAGTTCTAAATAACTGTCTGTGTGCTAAAAGCACAAGTCACCTGTGTTCCTATAAACAGCTAAACACCATAAAGTCCTAAGAAAAAAAATGAAATTTTACTTACAGCTTCAAGAACACTATCACCATAGTCTTACAGCTTCATTACAGAGAATGTACATTCTAAAAAAGGTGAAAGAGGAGCTGTATGCTGTTTATTTACATAGATGATGTTTGCCCTGGCTAGCAACTCATATTACTGAACAACTTTCCCAGAAACCAATGTCTAGAAAGAGCATTATGTGAATTATATTAAAGAAAAAGTAAGGTTTAAATTTTAAAAATGTGAAAACAATCATTTAACTTTTTATTTTTATTTATTTATTCTTTTATGTATTTGGTATGGGGTCTCACTACGCAGCTCAGACTCACGATCTTCCCGTTTTCAGCACTGAGATTACAAGGTATGCACCACCATGTCCAGTCTCAGTAGCCAGCTCAGTGTGCCAGGTGGTGTGGCATGTGGTATTGGGGATCAAAAAACCTAATCATTTAAAACTACAATTCCAGGGGGCCTGGCCCTAGCTCAGGCCTTTAAGTGGCTGCTTCCACA